CGAGAGAAAACTGGGCGATGTTTCACAACAAGGGAAGGGCGAGAAGCGAAACTAATAACAACCTTTCGGATGCCCGACTTTCAGTTCCTGCCGCTCCCGCCGTCGCCATTCACTTGGGAAAAATGGCAGCGCCGTCTCCTGCCCTTGCTCCTCCTACGGTGAGCGCGGCGCGGCGTGAGGGGGGAGGTGAGGGGGGCGGGGCGAGGTGCGAGGGCTCGAGAGGCCCAGGCGGCGTGGCGCCGTGGGGCCAGCGCGGAGCAGCCTTCAGATATTGATGTCATGTATCATATCGTGCCACGAAGCTCCGTCGTAGCTCCAGATGCTCCCTCGTATGATAATATTTTAGGGCGCGGGGCCTTCGGCTGGAAAGGGACGAGAGACGCGAGAGAGGAAAGTGCCGTAGGGAAAATAGGTTGCAAAGGCACGGGAGGGCACAGCGAAAGGGTCAAAACGAACACCTGCAGTTCGGCCTGCTCCAGCGACTGGGGACAACTGAAAGTGATAGCGTAGGCATTGCGGTCCGAAAGAAATGCAAGAGCCATTGAAAAAAAAGTTCTCATAATTTACCTTTTTGTATCTCTCTCCCCTAGTTGTAACATCTGGCTATACGCGCAGTCCAAGAGCATTCACTTAAAAATTGAATATCTCACATCTGCTTAGTACTTTTTTTTATAATTTAAGCACGAAAAATAGTTTTGAATACGTTTAATATTAATTTTACTTGTAGTAACTTCGCCATACAATGGAACTTATGGCAACGCCTTGGCGATTGGAAGGTGACGGGTTCGATTCCCATCACTTGCGATAAATTTGGGAAATGCATGTAGCATCGGTAAGTTGTTGATGTTGACTAACTGTCCTGATGAGTGATTTCCGTGGCTTACCTAATCACTTCCAAGGAGTGTCGGAGTAGCATGGGCTGAGGTGTCTCAGGGAATCAACTGATGGGAAACACTGCAGAGCCTGTGATCGGGAGGTCCTAGGAATTTGGTCCAGACGGTGACAGGATTTTCAACAATAGCTAGATACGTAGGTCAAATTAGGTCACTCTCTAGAGGAGTCTAGCAGCTGACTACTCTGACCTGAAATTTTCAGTGATTTCTTCCTTGATCAATACCTGGCAAATACCGAAGCAGTCCCTAACAAACGGGCCTCAACAACAAAAACCTGTCAATCAAAGACACTGTAGTAACGTCCGTTGATTCCTTGAGCCATCTCAGCCGGTACCTGGACGGGGACAACCGACATGCAGGTCAGTATGTCGCCATCCAGCGAGGAATGAGCACTGCCACCCCCGTAATAAAAATGAGCAACACAGGAATAATGGTCAACGCAGTTCACGTTCGCGGAAGTTTTTCTCATATTTCAGCGGAGGATGAACGCCAGCACCATTGTCGGATCCAGGAGGGGGCATGAGTGTCATGCCCCTACCACCCAAAATATCTAGAATTTTCGTTTACCTTTTTTTGTCAACATTGATATAAATATTAATTTATATTGAATTGAATTAATGGATTATTTTACTTGGCGAGACTCAGGACATGAGGCATGCTCTTCCATCTGACCACGCAAATTTCGCTACGCTCCTTTCACCAACTAG